AAACTACACCACAGCATACTTCACTGCCATAAGCTCCATATCGTGGGCAAGGTTATTCTTTTCTGCTTCCTTCAGCCGTCGCGATTGAAACGACACGACATGATAGTGTCTTTTGAGTCCTTTTTTAAAAGACTTATTGCAAACTTAGAAGCATCACACTCCACGCTATACGGCTTGTATCATTTGATACAGCAAGTAATTGTACTTTCATCAAACTGTGCTTAAGTGGATGATAAATCCCATGGTACGTCCTTCTTTGGCAAGTTTGATAGTGGGCGTGCAATTTAGTTACGCAAAACGAGATGCAAATAATTGGACAAATCAATCCATTTCTTCAATTCTTTTGGTTCCGTGGCGTTTGCGACAACATAACTGTTTTTGACCTTCTCAGGTTCGCACGAACTCCGTGTTTACAAACATAATAACCGAGGGCCGGTACTTCGCTAGCACCGAAAATACTCTTTGCAAGACTCGCTTGCAATGAATGCTCCCGCATACATTCCAGCACCACACCGAGGTACACCAAGTGCACTTTTTCGGTAGATTTGCTATCTTCGTCCTTCAAATGAACAAAACTACTGTTAGAACAGATTAGTGCAGAGTAACCGGTGGTCGGAACAGATGGCAGTCCAATTAATTAAATGCTGCCAAAGCATTGGATAGTCCTTGTGGCATCACAATTCACCCCCTAAATAAATATCGGATTGTGTGCTAACAGGACGTCCTCCTCCCTCATCAATATATGGTAATATCCATGAACCCAATTTAGTACACTATACTGTGTACAGCTGGACATATGGCGGAAGATGACATCTTTACGCAGGAATGGCGTCTTAGCGAGATTCGTCTACGCTATCAACCTGTTATAGGCGTGAACGATACATTTTTTGCCATTTGGTTTACACACACAAAGCGTCGGAACGTTGTGAGGGGACTTGCTCTTGTCACCAGACCAGCGGCTTTCTTTTGAGCAAAAGATTATCGATACAGGCACATTGTACACGCGACAGTGGCCACCGTAAAAGCACTGCATGCTTTAAACCAGCTTCAGGATCAATTTCTGTCGAACCGTTCGGGTGGAAGACCAGAAGGCAGCTTCGCACGAAGGCCGTCATCCTTATATTACATGATAAGGATCAGTTAGATTCTTTAATATAGCGGATCCTCTTCGTGACTCCACATGCTTTCTAAATTTCTCGAGGGCCGAATCATTCATAACCGTTGATTAGCGTGGTCTAGCTGAGTCGACCATCGACCGTAGCGACAAAACCTCCGCAATATTATCACTCTTGAGATCGTGTAGGAAGTCATCGTAGGTGATTTATTCGAGCTTCATCAGTTCTCCAGTTGTCGACAACGGTGTCAAAAGAACATCTGTTCTTGTCACCTAAGTCCCAGTTGTTGAATCCACATTACATGAACCAGCATATTTCCATGCTATATTCCCATTCTGGGAAGCCGTTTGTCGGGTTAAGTCTTTCGATCACTCAACCGCATCCAGAGCGGGTGTATCAGTACCGCGGTCAGCAATTTTCTTTGATGTATTATCATTGTGTGTGCTCAACCACATAACGAGTGGGAGCATCATCTTTGTGGTCAGCTATACCAACTGACCCACAATCCTACTCATTGTATTAGTGGGAGTAGTGGCATATATAGCCACAGTCGATTCCTTCGGTATTCTATTACACTCATGTCTTCAACTTCCTTTCGTCTTGAGGGGGTACGAACCAGCATTTCGCCCTCATACAATTTTTTCGTTGTGCAAATCACCATGCCTACCAACGATCCATTCATTTACAAGTGCCAAGTTCTGCGTACAACTTGATCCATTGACACCGTGGCCACTTCATACGATTTCGTATCTTCTCCAACCTGGGGAATGTAAATTGTGACATATATCAGTGAAGTGAGGGGTTATTTCGAGCAGCATACGACTGCTTTCCGCCTAGGAGCGTTATTTCTGGTGCATAGTGAATGTGGTTATATAGTATCGAGAGTTTCACCAACGCCAAAAGAGCTACATTTAATCAATTTTGATCTTAATCAATCAATGGCTTATGCTTCTCAAGCCACGGTGTAAACAAAAATCAGGTGATACCGTTTGTCCATATCAAGGACTGCTAATATTATTTTCCACTTGAAGTCTTCAAACTTCAATTGAAGATCAACTGTAATTCTCTTTGCAGTAAACACCAATGGCCAACTTCGCTGAGAAAAAAGCCATTGCTTCCATCTAGAGCATTCAAAAGCTTTGAATTTTTGAGACCACGCTTTGATTCCGCGCATAGTTACGCAACACGCTAGAGTCAATCAAGACTCTAAACGGACGACCGTTAATCTTTACTTTTGCTGAGACCACGAGGAGACCACTTCGACCTGTGTTGCTAGCAAAGGAGTGCGACTTTTCACGGGCTAAATCTCGTGAGTGATTCTACCACCACATTCACAAGAGCTTATAATTGCCAAGGAGATCGCCCTGCGTCTACTTGGTAACGGCGTCTTCCGAACGCCTCGTAGTATTCGTACCACATGACTCGACACCATTTCGACGACGACCGCATCGAGAGGGTCGTCTCTCACGTGGACAATTACTGCGGATGCAACCGAATTCTTTGACATCCGTAAACTTGCTTTGTACGGACAGTCGGCGCACTTTTAGTAATCCGGAAGCAGCAGTTCCTGCTCCCATCGAGTTAACCGGATGATCACATGCTTGACACCGACAGTAGTCCTCACGCAATGCAATCATAATTCCATCTTCCAAATTGACGAGCTCTGGCGGATGTCGCTCGTCTTAGGGGGGCCATGAGTGATATTTTTTCATTAACACGATGGCCATTACTGCCTCTGGCACTGCTTCCCTCGCCGTGCAGGCACAAAGCTCAGTGAGCTTCTGTACGCAGTCGTACAACGTGCCGTAGTCTTGACGCCATCACAGAAACTTCGACTGTTGCTAAAATTCTGTGGGAGACACATTGATTCTATGGCCTTTCCAGCTCTTGCCATGTGGCAAAGTAGCTGGAGCGGTTGACTTTCCATGTCATCGCCCAATCATCAGCACGGCCAAACAAATGCGACATGACAAAGGCTACTTGATACGGTTATGACAAAGTTTGAGCCGTCGTGATAACGATGACCAATTCTCGCTGCAAATACACATAATTCTCATCTTTGTTGCCACGAAAGCTCTCCAACTAGTTTAACATGGGACGTCATAACCACTTATAAAAAAGGGAACAGGCGTCGGTATAAATCGCGATAGAAATACCAATAATCCTTGCTCATACGCAGCAAAATTTTCCTAGCGTTGAGTTTTTTCTTCTTGATCCAATCGAACATGCTGCAGACCGCGTGATCTCCGATTAAAACTCGCAGTTCACCACACCCTCCCATGGCAAATGTGTTCGGAGCGAATTTTCCTCCCTGGTGATCCGAGGACAACCACCGCCTGTGGTGTCTCCATTACCCATCCATCGAAGTAGTCGGCGTTGAATGACCAGTAGGCTACGGAAATTGCCCGTCCTTGTTCACACACTATCCGGGAAAGAATAAAGTCAACTAGCACGCCTCACAGCGTGTTGCTCGCTACTAGCGGGGCGGGCCGTTGGCTTACGTAGAAATGACGTTTATTTTTATATCCAATAAGCTCTTAACTCCCCTAACCTGATAATTACTTTTGTTCTGTTACTTTACAGGGTGTACAGACAGACAAAGTATACGGTCCGCACAACATGTGTAATAGGACCTGACCCGTAACACAATCTCAACATTCCACGACATTCTTCGTCTGACCCGCGGAAGTTTGATTGCTACAGTCTGACATTTAGTTGTTTCACGATAGAAGCCGTTTGTTCTAACACCAGAGGTGCTCTAGAATGTGTAACACCAGCGCATTGTCAAACCTGGTAAGGGCTTCTCGGATAGTGATTACCGATTCCGGCATTTTGGCCGCCATTTCTCCGATTCCTTGGCGGCCTAAGATAACAAAAGCTTGTTCAACTGGTGTTTTCGTCCGGAGCCAGGTATTCCAGTATTTTACCTTTTAATCTATATCAGGCGATACAGTATTGCCATGCATCGGTCATGAGATTGGCTAACGGGGTTGCCATGCACTCCCGACAGAAGAAGTTCTCACTACGCTTACAAACGCATAAAGAATGGATTTATGCGCTACTACCAGGGGCTGGAGTGAGAGCCTCTAATGGTGCTAAAAAATTATCAGCTCTCTCTGCTATTTCAAGAATTCATATATATAGCGTCAATACTGACATTTGATAAAAACGTTTTAGTATTTTTCATTGCGCTTCTCGTAATCTTCATAAACACCGATAATCCGGTATTTATTTTCACAACCATGATTATAATATGGATTTCTTACAAATGTGCCTTTTGTAATTAATACATTTGTACCAAATGTGCAGAGGTTACTGGAAGTCCCTCATTATGTACATCGTACAATCGTGCAATACGTGCCCCGTTTTGCCACTGAACCAGATCTTATCAAGCGGATCTTGTTGAAGTTAGGCGAGTTTATCCTCTAAGAATGGCATTTTGATTTTTTAAATTCAGCCGTTAATTATTGAGGTTGCTTCCACACAAAAACTTTTAACTCCAGCAAAACGTGCAAAGAACGGGTTTAAATGCCGTATTTAGGACACGTAAACGAAGTCCAAAGTAATGACAGATATGCCATCTGAATTATATAGTCCGATTTATCCTATAACAATAAGAATCTTTTGTTAGTGTTTGTACTAAAACTCTATCGATGTAATCATATCACTGCACCTCCTACTATTCTCGATCACAGGTATAAAAATCGATTTATGATAAATGTTCATACAAATATGATACGTGTCTCATTTGACCCAAAACACTAATAAAGGGCAAGGACAGAGTTCGGATGGAGATAATGAAAGAGAGGTGACTCTTATGACATGAGAGCACCACTTAAGTACATGTCAATACCAGAACATGTACAAATTTCTTAAAGAAACTTCTTAGTCCCATGCGTCAAGAATTTCCTTACGCCTCTTGACTGACTCTTTATTTTCGCGGTCCAATGCCTCACATTTGATGCCCGGGAAGTTGTTCTCAATAAGTAATTTAAGTTGCGGTAATCTCTTCGGACTCGGGGCGTACGTACCACTATTGTTGTCGATTACTAACTTGCTAGTGCCGTCGTCCTCTTCCTCAATGCGAAATTCGCCGGCGTATTTGACGGATTCGGCGGTATTTGAATGCATCATATGCTTCGACAACATGTCTTTGAAAAAGCCAGCTCCAGTCTCAGAGAAGAGCCAACCTTTTGGTGTGATCGCGTATGTAAACAGCACAGGCTTACCGCGACGCATTCCGTTGCGGATGAGATGAAAGAAATCATCAGGAGAGGTAAGGTACCCATACTTCGTACTTTTCTTTTCGTGCTTGTATACCACAGCGTGTTGTGTCTTGACTAATCCACGAAGAATAGGTGCCTCGGGATGATCTGACGCGAACACTCGCTGGATCTTCGTGTAGTTCTTGTTCCATTCGTTATCATCGGGTAAGTATAAAGGGACATTGTGCAGCTGAACGATATATGCCAAAGATTTCCAATCTTCATCGTCGGACGTTAACTTTTTCAGGACTCCTGCTGTATAGCTTGAGTGCACAGAGTAGCGAACAGGACCGACTTCCTCAATCGCGGCATTAGAGTCCGCGTTGAGCTGCTGGCGGTTAACCTGCAGAAAAGTCGAATTAGTACGTATAAAAAGGTGATTTAGAAGTATGAACCCACCTTGATGCTGATGACGCCAGCGTTGCGATCACCTAGCGTTATTGGCAAGGGAATCATTTCGTCTGGGTCGAATTTAGCATTGGCGGTGTTGAATTGTGCTTCTCCAAGCTCATCGCCTTCATCCATGTCCGTACCAAGCACAATCAGTCTAAATGTCGAGTCCTCTGGAACGTTGTTAAAGAAAAACTTTTCGTTCCACTGAGGATTAACCGAATCGAAGACGGGGTGCGACCAGGCCATTGGCATGCCATTGATTTCAATCTTGGTGTACGCATCACTCGAGAAGAACTTGCCCTTTACCCCTGCCGCAAGATTTAGGTATTCACTTTGCTGAATATCCTGGTAAGAAACAATATTCGTAAGCATAATATTATTTGAACAACAACAGAAAACCAATAACATTTCCACCTGTGCAGATACAATCTCAAGACCCACATTGTATACGGCGGCGGCAGGGTTGTCAAGCAGTGAAAATGAAAGGGACATTGTTCCAGGTTGCCGCCGGTACTAAATCAAAAATGCGGCCATCCAGCATGCAGCGCAAGAAAAGTCTAAGCCAGTTCAAGATGCAGACAGTCCAAACCTGACGTAGACATTTGGTGCTGCAGTATAGGCGAAGCCTTGAGAGAAAAAAAGTCTAGGCAGCACAAAGAACTTGTCTTGCCCATCATATGCTTGGATTTCTAAATATCAACCAGTTAAAGTAGCTAAAAGCCTCAACTTTGTACAGAATTCGGGAAATACCTTGAGCACCACACGAAGATGGGCCTATGAAATATTGCCATCGCAAATCTTGCTGTTTCGCGAGGGCTAGCGAAAATTTTTTTTATCGCTTCCGAGTAACCATTTCCTAAAGCTTCATTAAAGCCTGCACCAAACCAGAATTGGTAATTTCATCATGTCTACGAAATGACCCGCTTGACATTTAAAGCTCGTTCAGATGAAACTGATCCGCAGACTGGCTTGAAATGGCTCCATTATCTACCATCCTGATTCCCAGACAACAAATATATGTAGCATACGGCTACACTTAAGTATTGGTAACCTTGGTAACTAAATTGAAAGCGATCATAACGTTTTGTATGTCGAAGCTTACTTACTATTGATCTTCACTAGCTAGAGTGCGTGCGTTGCGGGCGGCAGACTACTCGCTGTTCCCGCTAGCTTCATAACCGGGTCTAACAAGTCATAGCGTTTTTGATAGCATGCTTTGGTGAAGAGCGCAGTAAGCGCATCTCGCTGGGGAACGCTCGGCTGTGCATCGTCGGGTTAGGAGGGAAGCTCGACATCCTTACTTTTTGCGCGTCGGTAACAAGCGCCCCTCATTGATAGCTCGTTTAACCATGTCTTTAGGCGCAGAGAAGGAGACTCCCGATGCAAGTATGCATGATGAGCAGGCACATGGTGCACTGGTTGCTCGTGGGGCAGTCACTATTGCAAAATTTACGAACTCCACATTGCAGTTCGGTGTACTTATGACTTCTTAATCAGTACTGAAGTATTCATATTATGAACATGAGAGAACTCCGCAATGAACACGTTCATGGTACATATAGGCTAAACATGCAGAATTTTTACAATGTTATTTGTAAATAAAACTAGATAAGTATCTTGACAAAGAGTTAAATCGACATCTCGATCTTAGCACTGAATATAAGTCATAGCTATTCTCTATCGCCCCGACAAATAAAGACTCTGCAATAAGATGTCACCTTTGTCCGTATCAATGGAAGTATCCTCTGGAGCTCAAAATTTACAATCGCTCTTTTTTGTCCCACACTGGGACCGCGGCTTACTGTCTTTTTTGCCTTCACTAGCAATACAATTGTTATCAATCTGGAATAATTCGATGGTTTCGTGCTTGCGCCAAAATAGGTAGATGACACACCAAACCTACACCGTAGGGAAGTGCATAGTATCCGACCTTTCTAAATTAGACGATACATGTTTCGTGGCGCTCCAACCACACGATTTTTAAAAAGAGATCGCGGCAGTAATTCAGGTACAACAAAAGACAATGTTTCATGCTGTCGACGTTGTAACTCACCATCATCACTTCAAGATCGAGCAGATTCTTTGACATGCTCTTGTCGCAATAGTCATGCACATCGTTCCCATTCTTGGCATCTTCAACGCCTCAGCTTACTGTCTACCATTTTAACTGTTAAGGATCGTTCGTAATCGCACGATGGTTGAGACCTACCAAGAATTTTCATGGCTTCGCAGTGCCAGAAAACGCTGAGATCAACATAAAAAACCAAGCTGTGAGTCCCAACTCTCGTAAATAGAGTCGCTTTTTTTGAAGGTGTGCCCATTTGACCATTGACCTCCGGGATGAAGAATTTTTCTCCTAGTAAACCGTCCTATGCCCATTGATATTCAACATTTTTCCGTTGGAGATTTTTTGGCAGCTGCCCTTCATTTGGATTCAACCTTCTGTACCTCTAAGCCAGATATTGAGGGCATGCAACGCGTATATGTATTAACTGCGGTGGTCCAGAATATCTGCGAATGCCGCAGCTGTCCAGCAGCTATGAGTTTTATCTCAACCTCCTCAACATAACCAAGCCTCAAGAGCATTCTTATAGCTTCTATTTTTGATTCGTGTCTAGTCATTGCGACGCGGAATTTGTTTTCCGTACTGAATACGACACCAGCCATATTTATAAACTAGGTCGATTTTACGCGAGCGTCTCGACGCACGCCCGCCTCTTCGGAGATACCCAATTAAGATGGTGGTTGTTGTTTCTGCCTCCGGGGAGAATTGGTTTGGCGTTGCAATGATAAGTGATAATAGTTTCTCGCCGTTATGTAGTCCACCAGCTCACGCCTTTCTTCACGGGTGGACAAGAATTAAAAGCTTTCCCTTTTCCCTTTTTAGTAGTTTCATAGACCCGTGACGTTGTCGGGAGCAGATGCTATCTTCTTATGCGCTCATCTAGCATGAAGACCGCAAGCGCAACACGCCACCGCTCCGCTTAAAGGATAGTTAAATTACATCCTGGGTCCCGGTATCTTGCAGCTAGCCAATGGCGTCGCTGTCGCATCTTCACAGAGGGTGTACGCCTCCGCGAAACCAGTGGGAACAAGTACTCAGCTTCGACCAGTGTCAGCCTCACTTCCTGCTCCACCGGAGACCTGATATGGTTGTTCAGTGGATAACGTGCCACTCCACATGCCTCATTGTGGTTCCGCCTTTGATGCCTCAGGCCTCGTCTGATTATGCCACGCATGGCATGCAGCGACTGTTTCGATACTTAAGTGGGGCTCAGTGGGTTAAGTGCCACTCCACGTGTATCACTGGGGCCTCGCCCTTGATACCTCGGCCCTTGACCGACCATGCCACGCATGGCATGCAGCGACTGCTTCAATACTTGAGCAGCGCTTACGTGCCACTCCACGTTCAGCCCGCGAGCCATGCTCGGGACTGCTTCCCGATACACCTTCGGTGTTCACCAACTCGGATACTCCAATATCTAGCATGTTGACCGTCTCCGTCTAATGTCCGTGCCAATAGTGTTTCTGCCTCCTAGCAGTGGTTCGTGAATGACTCACCAAAGCTCCACCAGTCGACGTGCGCGTAGCGCCCAAGGTCTTCCACCTTTAACCGAACCATGGCTCATGCATGGTGTTCCAACCATGCCATACAAAGGATGAGATCATGCCTGGGAATAATAGTCTAAGACTAGACAGCATTCTACGCTTAAAAAGTCAAGAAACTTGACACCGAAGTCCGCAGACACCCTCGACATTGCGACAGACAAGTGCCGACGCTCACCAAACAGTGACGGCGTCACTCAACCGCTCTTTCAGTGCCTCAGCATACAGCTGACTTACTTCTATCGTGTAGCGTCGAGCATTACTGCCCGGTGCCCGCGGTCGATCAAGACCGTTCATAGATTTATAAAGCCCTTCATGATTGCTTTCACTACCTGCAAGCGCTGCTTGCGTACATATTCCGTGTTCAAGAGCACGAAGCTCTTCGAAGCTGGCCTTGCTGCCCTCTACATCTTTGAGGCTCAACAGAACTGAATTAATCCCCAGTAGGCCGTGCCTTCTGGGCGTTGTGATTACCCCGCGACTAACCAAAAGGTTGGTGAGAAGCGGGACGTCGGCTCGATAAACCTTGACGCGACTTGCGCAGGGGACAACCAGTCCGGTGTCCTCACAGACAAAACACCGTCGGGTTTTCGATCGCTGCCCGGTAGCTCGGAACGCTGCCTCTACTTTCTCAGCATAGTTCCATCGGCTCAGGCCTGCTTGACGAGCTGCTACGGTGTGTTTTCCGACTAAGGCGTGCCGACTTGAAGCTGAATTCGACAATCAATGCCACATTCACTACTTCTTCACATAAGTCCAATTCATTCTGACCATGCCAGTTCGGAGGGTCTCCACAACGAAGATCTTTGTGACTGCCTCGGGGGGAGGATCGGCTGCCATCACGGCAATGAGAGTACGTAAGTCTTGGATAAAGTCCACCAATTCCTTCTTGGCCTGTCGAGCGGCAATGAAACGCGGTAGCGCGCGATGTGCCTGGTTAAGCGGCGAGATCGCTTGGAAGAACTGAAGCTTCACCTCCGTCCACGAGGATAACGCCGCTTCAACCAAAGTGCCGAACGTCAGTGCCCATTCTTGCGCTCGACCACCGAGCCTGGAGATAGCTAGCGCCATGCGCTGCTATCTGGGAGCATGGCAAATGTCCATAACTATCTCGGCCTTTTTACCCAAAGCATGAAATTCTCTGCATCTTCAACCTCGAAGGTCTTAATGCTCACCACGAAGCGGCCTCGGTCATCCGTCTTCAAAGTTGGCATCATGGACGCAGTCAAGGCCGACATCTTCTGCTGTTGGTTCTCTAGCAGAGCATTTTCATGGATTGAAAGCACCTCTAGGCGCGCGCTGATCGCATTATGTCCTTGTGAACGAGGTGTTGCACGCCCTCAAAGCAGCGGAGCTGCCGTAGCTTTGCGCATAGAGAGAGCGTAAGTTTGGTCACCGACCTTTCGTTCTATACTTAGAACAGGCACGAGTTTAGCGGATCGCAGTCCGCTTACTCTAAGAGTAATAACCGCCTTAAGCCAATGCTAAATAACTCTTCTGTTTAAAACGTAAGTATTTCTCGATTTTATTTGCGGCAAGGCCGCCTATATCTAAGTCTATAGGTTTTCTCAACGATATAGTAAAACGTATAATTACTGGCTCTTCCAGCCACGTACTGACTTCGAAATGGAACCGAGAATGTAACGGA